TAATATAGGCGAGAAGACTAGACTTTTTAAGATGGCTGTATACGGCATTGTAGAATCAGTACTTCTGCCTTGACTGTTTCAACAATGATCCTTTTCTCTCTTTCTCAAACAGACTGCTTTGTAGACCACCGCCGCTGTCCATAGTCTTCCACTTCTTCTGTTAGCCAATACATGGTAGAGTGGCAAAGTTTTCTGTGAATTCCTCTGAGCACGAAAAGTCGCCAAAGTTGCTGCTTCAAAATTGCGGGACTAGGCCTGCGGTTGGCATAGGTCTCCCCCCCCCCCCCCCCCCTGAAAAACCAGCCCGAACTCACAGGGAGGGCAATTTCCAGAAGTGGGTAGAGGGCTGGACCCGTTTTCCAGCACTAGCCTAAGCTGGGTATTGGCCCCAGTACTTCCGGGTTGGTTGTTGAGGATTCGTGGCCTCAAATTCTTCTTTGGCAATATATTCTGCAACCCAAAGAAAAATAAAAAATGTTTCTGTGGGATTAGGTAGCTTCGTTGAGTTTGCCGGTTTTGTAATGATCTTTGAGCTTCAGGAATTACTTTTGGGAAGTTTCATACTAGGGTAGGAAAGTGGGGCACTGGAGCCGGTTTCCAGTAATAGCCGAAGCTGGGTAGTGGCCCCAGTCCTATTTACGGGTGGAATTGTGCCCACGGCCTCTTTCCTGCTTGATAATGAACAGCTCATCTTTCCAACAAAAAAAAAAAAAGAAGAGAAGGCTGCAGACATGCCGGTCCACTGTCTCAAAGATCTTTTTTTCTTGTTTTTTTCTTTTCCCACGCCCAGTTGATGCATGCATTTCCGAAGTAACTGAGGCCGGGGGAGGGGTCCCGCTAGCAAAGAGGATTGGATTGGACGCCTGAATCTGGACGTGTTTATGGTGGGGTGCAGAAAGCGGTGATTGATCTGCTTTTATGCATCTCTGTTCGAAACCAATCCAGATTCAGGCGCTTAATCCAATCCTCTTTGCTAGTGGGACCTAGGCTCTGACCAGGACAATCAATGCTGCTCAACCAACAACTACTTTCTTTGTGACTGTGAAATGGGACGCTGGACCCGTTTCCCAGCACGGGCTGGAACAGAGGGGCAGCCAGAGGACCACACACACACACACACACAGAGAGAGAGAGAGAGAGAGAGAGAGAGAGAGAGAGAGAGAGAGAGAGAGAGAGAGAGAGAGAGAGAGAGAGTGGAGTACCGAAATGGAAGGTCGAAGGCACGTAACTTGTGGATTTGGAGGGAAAAGGAGGTGTCTCTCTGCGTCAGAGAGTTGTATAAACTCGTTGGCATCTGACGACACGGGCTCGTTAGGACTGAAGAGGATCAAACTTTTGTTTTCTTTTTTTATTTTTTTGAGCAGTTAGAATGACCACCTTTGACTGCCACGACTTACAAAACAAATCTAAACGCCACGCATGCATCAACAAGCAACACTCCAGTCCTTTCAGAGTTAGAGAATTACTCCAGTCTTCACTGTACTCAGAATTAGCATGGTTAACACTGGGTCTCTAACTGCCTAGAAAATGAGAAGAGAGGGGTCCATTTGTGCCAGCCTGGCTGAATGGTACCGACATTCCACTGTTGATAAACAGATCAGACATGAGTTCAAGTCTAGTCAGATGCAATAAGGTAAGGGGCTATGGGTGCTATTGTTTATAAGACTTTCTATTGTCAAACTAAATAAGGAAAAGAAGGGTTGGATGTAGGACTTTCACAGCAGCTTCCCTTGCAGGCAACTGTGTAACTGAATCGGTGCTAATTTCGTTTCCTCTTTCTTCCACTGCTTTTCTGTTTCTCATGATCTTTGTTCTGTTTCTTCTTTTTTCGGCTCAGGGGGGGGGGCGGTTGGGGGGACAATCACAGCCGCATCTTTGCGAACTGTAGAGAGAAGACAGGTAAAGAAAAAAAGAAGATTTTTTTTCTTTAGAATCCGTTCCACTGAAGGGAAACAGACCACCACAACAAAAAAGAAGAGGATCCAGCACCCACCACAGTTGAGGATGAGGCGGACTGGATACGGGCATGCTTACACTACTACACCCTGTTTTTTCCTTTTTCATTCTAACCATTTGCCCAATTGTTGTATGAGTCAGTCTTGCGCAGGGGCATGCTAGTCTTCTCTCTTTGGTTCCAATTTTGAGTTTTTACTTTTGAACCACCGGTGCGAGCCACCTTCCTCTGAAACTTGCGGCCGCAAGCAAGCAGGCCACAGGTTGGACTGTAGTGGCCTGGTGGTCCCGACAATGGAACAAAGTGCAAGCCCGACTACTGTTTGTCGGATGCCGACCATGATGGTCAGAGTGCATCTAGTGCCGCCATTTTCCTCGGAGGCTCGAAGCCTCCACTAAGGTTTTGAGTAATACTCAAATAAGAATGTAGTCGGAGTTTTATCTCACAGAATGACCACATAACAAGAATACACGTTGACCACACTGTGCCGATCACAGCCGTTCTACTCCATTCTGCTCAAGCTGTAGGGGCTGAACCTCTTCCGGCTCATAGATACGGATGAGACTCGGCCTCTATGCCGTGCTTCAAGTCCTCCCAAGCCGGCCTCTATGCCGTGCTTCAGATCTAACATCCCTATCACTCACTGTAGTCAAAGGATGTCCGTTGTCCTTCACCCGACGTGCAAAAAACTCCCGAGTTACTAAATCTGTCCTAGCTCCGAGTGGAAGTGGAACAAAAACAGCAAATGTATTAAATCTATCTATGCCAACTATAACCCGCTTCTTGCTACTTCTGCTTTCACCTACAGAAACAGATTCACCTGGTCCTCACGGTATAGGCAACGACTTCAGCAGCTCTAACGGGGGTTGTGTTGTGTTCTTGTTACACTCACACTTTGACAACTTTGCACGCACACCATGCAGTCACTTTTGAAGTTGGGTTTAGGGTTCCCTGATTTGTCACAAAAGCGTAAACATGCCTTGGCGGTGAATCACTTTCCGCATATCAACGAGTAAAGCGATGTGACCTGCTCGTCATACCGGTCCAGGCATAAGATCGTCGTACGTTGGCGTATATCTTCTTCCAAGCAAAACCTCCTGTGTCGTGGCATTCGCCCAATATCAAACTGCGAATCTCCTCATTGTTTGGTATGCACAGCCTATCCTCACTATCTCATTTCAGAAACAACAGTCCGTCGGTCAACCTATGCTCAGCAACTTCATGGAGTTTGTCAATCACCTTAGTTATAACCGTACGTAAGACTAGGTCATCTGCGTATGCAGCTTTAATCCTCCGCATCAATCCCGTCCCAGCATCGAGGTAATTTGCTATAGCGCCGGAGAAATCAGCCCGCCTAGATAACGCATCTACAACAACGTTGCACGTGCCATTGACATGCTTCAGTTCAAAGTCAAACTCGTCTGTCTCCGTAGCCCATCTTGTACGTGGATGCTACTACTCTTTGAGAAGGCAGCTCTCTAGACATGAATTCAATTGGTATGTAACCATCTCCATCATTTTGCTGCAGCATAACATCTATTCCATACTGGCTAGCATCCGGTGTCACTATGAAAGGTAACAAAGGGTCTGGTATTTCAGAATGAGGTATTCAATTAGTGCCTTTTCTGTTTCTTGAATGTGGAGATGCTGTCCTTACCCCACAAACGAACAGTCGCCTTCTTCAACAATTTACACACTGGTTCTACGAGAGAGAAAATTCTGTACGAACCTCCTATAATTGTTAGCTAGGCCTAAGAATCATAGCAATTTTGTTAGCATTTTCTGTGTAGGCCAAAAAAATCTCTAATTGCAGCGACATTCTCATCCTCCGGTCGCATTCCATCTCCGTTTATCTGTTTTTTCCCCTCTTTATACACCCACACACTCACAGGTGGCCCATCTGTTATGGGGGGCAACAATCCGGTTACACATCGCGGGTAAGCATGGCCAACATTTAAAATGAATCACAAAAAGTGATCCAGTGAATGAAAAGGGAAAAATGTTCCCCCCCCTCCTTGAGTAAACACAGTCAAAGACAACCGCTTGTAGTCAAGAGACTCCCAGTGATACCCAGACACTACAAGCTACCTTGCCTTTTGCCAATTGTTGACCTCTAAGAGAAGTTGTATCCCCTTAAATTTCTCTTTCCCCATCTGATCCCAAATGCAACCCAGCCTACCCAACCTTTTCCCGATCCTCATTTTGAGTGCCAATTAACACCATATTCACCCCTCATGCCCGTCATGCTTATACCTTCTTCATATATTCCCTCCACTACTTCCTCTGCTTCGTAATCATTTTCAAAAATGAAAACCAATGCCTTATTTTCAATAATTTCTCCGGACTTCTTGTAACTATTTTCTTGTATCAAGCATATCAAATACACGTCATCCTAACGAGGTTATAATCTTGGTACCTTCTTCCAAAAATCAGGCATATAGCAGTTCTGAAGGTGAAAAGTTAGTATGGTAATAGTTATAGAAAAAATTGAGCCAAGAAATGGTGTAAACACATGTCTGGGGTAAATGAGGTACCCTACTGTATGCTATGTCTACCTAGCCTCCCGACCCCCCATTAAATCACCAGTACGTTACCCAACTATTTTGTGAGAGTCGCGGCGCTTGTATAGCCGCGACTCTCAGGAAGTATCGGGACACCATTTCACTCGATATCCATCCAAGCGAAACGGCTCGCATGCGAGGCCCATTTTGCCTGGATGGATATTCGGCAAAAAGGCGCCCGAGTACGTCCCCAAAGTTGCAGCTGCAATCAGACTCGCTTTCTTTCACACTCACATGCATGCAAAGAGGCGCACAGCAAACTGGCGACAAGCGCCCACACAGAACTCAGAGATATGGTCGTCGAAAACACAGTCCAGATACAAGTTCACTTTCGATGGCTATGGCGACTCAGCGCCCAAACAACTCTCTGTTCGCATACCCCGGATCACCCTGGATATCCCACACGCGTTACTTTGCACTCACACAGGGGGGTGATCTTAGAATATGCAACCAGGTTGTTTTCACAACCGGCTGCGCGCGCGAGGGATCTGGCAAAGCTGGCCACTTCATCTTTGAGGGCCTGGAAGGCGACGAGGACTTGTTCCTCAGTCAGGATGTGCTGTAAGTATATTTAACTATTTACGCTCGCCTCCCAGTTATCAAAGTTTTCCTCTTTCTTCCCGCCATAGGCGTCTGGGAACTTAAGCTTGACGGGCTCCTTACGGGGCCTGGCCTCACTCTCAACAACGACAACTGCTTTGGCACTCTCGATGGCGCCCTCACAAAACTTCCCCACGTTGTCTCTTAGCCGCCTAACTTCGCCCCCAACGTGGGTGACCATATCGCGCGCGAAATCGCGGAATCCTGACCACATGGCGCTCAGGGCCACATCGTGATCCCAGTTGGCTTGGCGCTCCTTCATCCAAGCCTCACTCAACACTTCCAAGTACCCTAGCATCTTATCCATTTTGGCAGAAATATCTGTCTGCGCCTGCACCTCTTGTCCACAGTCTCTCACCTTTGCCACCTCCGCGGTCAACCTATTAACTTCCTCCCTCCTCTTCTTTTCCCTCTTCATCCTCAGTTTCCACTCCAACTTTTTCTCCTCCTCTGTTTCTTGCCGTTCCAGGGGGTCCTTGATTGTCGCTAGCTCCCTGGCTAACGCGTCCCTCTCATCCTGTGGCACATACATCTCTGCCTCCTCGTCTTCCCCCAATGATAAGTTAGCAATCCACTCACTATTCTTCTTCTGCATCGCTGCCTCCTTGTTCGCCGTGCCACTACTCTCCCCTTTTACTTCCCTGCGTTTTCTCTCCTCTTCTGCCTCTGCTGCTGCTTCGACCTCGGCAGCCTTTTTCTTCTCCTCCATCTCCTCCTTCAGTTTGTTCATTTTCGCCGCGTACTCCTCTGCGATTGCTTTCAACTTCGCCTGCTTCAGGAGCTCCTTCCTTTCTTTATTTTCTCTCACTAAGGCGGCCATCTTCTCTTGCTGTTCCTGGGTGTAGGGGCTAGTGCTCTTCCCACTACGGGTCTCAACCATGGTGATAAGTGCACAACCGAATTGACGATTGCAAACCTCACCACGTAGACTCTAACCCCTGACTGACAAACCTACGGACTCAATCTAAGGACTCATAGAATTCGGACAGGGATCCTGCCAACTAGGGTCTCTAGCCTAGACCTATACTATGGCTGTCACTACTAGACCTGTTGCTGATCAGGAGGCATTTAAGATCCCCCGTAACTCCTCATGAATTATTTAACGTTGCAGACAGGATGACACGATCAGCAGGTCTCTCAACACTTAGACTGCCTGTTGCGCAGCCCACAACTCAGCCTTTCGGGCCTACCGTGCCACACCGAGCAGCCCTCCGGTCTGTACCGGTCCTTGGGAGGGTTAGGCCTCCGGGACAGTCGAGTCATCAGACACAGTCTTTAACCCTACTTGGTCCGACAGGGGTTTGGTCAACAAGGCCTATCCTTCATCCACAAAGTACTATCACCTGGACAAAAGAGACTCGATGCAGAAAGAAGAGACAGACAGACTGGACTCAACAAGTACCACAGGGTGTGTGCACATCCATAGGGCGAGGGATAGGTTGAAGGCTTGGCGAGATTATACCGGCTCTAGCTTGGTCAAACTCGTGGTCAACGGCTTGGTCAACGCCGGTCAACGCTGCGGTCAACTCCCGGTCAACCCCCGGTCAACACCGCTCAACACCTCCGGTCAACCCCGGTCAACGCTGGTCAACACCTCCGGTCAACCCCGGTCAACATCCGGTCAACGCTTGGTCAACTCTCCCGGTCGGCTATGGCTGCCGGCTTCACTTTCCCTCACCAACCTTCTTCTTCCCTTCACCTTCCTCGCCTCCTTTCACCCCGGCTGTCTCCTTTTTTTTTTTTTTTTTTTATCGTGTTTTCCTTCTCCTCGGTTATGGCTTCCCTCTCTTTCTTCGGTCTCTCCCTCTGTCCGTTCTCTCTCTCTCCTTCGTTACTCCGTGGTCAAGCTCCGCGGCTATGGCCTTCTTCTTCTTCTTCATAGGACTGCACTTCACAGGTACGTAACAGCCAAACTTGTATCGCTCATCTCTCTCTCTCTCTCTCTCTCTCTCTCTCTCTCTCTCTCTCTCTCTCTCTCTCTCTCTCTCTCTCT